TTCAACCTTCCCTTCCAAAGGCTGAGCAAGGAATGGTTCAAAATGGGCGGTGCCTGATAATTGAAAGACACCAGCATAGGGCTTGAAAGACCTAAATTTAATTCCTTGCTCAGAATTAAATTCCTTGCTCAAGTCAGTTAGCCTATTTGTGACCGACAAAACAGGAGCAAGGTTATTCTCTACATTAAGTTTGGAGGAATTCATTTAAGGCTGCGAAGTGCTCAAATGGACCCAAAATAAACTGTACAAAGATACAAATATATTAACAAAACGAAAGGAAGGGCAATTAGCCCCAACCCCTCTGCTGTTACACAACAGATCTCACGATTTCTGCCCCGTTCTGGATTACGAGCCGCGCACGCCTTGGTCGCACCGTTTTGGGGCAGATCCCATCCAACTCGACGAAATCTCTTCCCCGCGGGTTGGAGCACTGGCATCTGCTGCTCCGCCTCGTGTTTTGAGGGTCCTTCCCCTCTTAGGTGAGGGTTAACTCCCGGTGAAGGCCTTGCCTGTCACCAAGTGCCACCTGAACGGCTGAGGACGGTAAAAGGTCCTCACGGAGGGTGCGCACCAGCTCCCAGGAGCTCCGCTGCGCTTGGGCGGCTGCGGACGTGCACATTTAGGCTGGGTTTACAATTCCTAAGGGAAGTTCTGGGAAACCTAAGTAATAACGCACCTGCACTGAGAAAGAAAACGAGAAAGGTGATGGTTTTTAGGCTTTTCCAAGATTTTCCACCAATGAATCAGGACTGGGCTCTATTTATATGCCTAAGACCACTGCTTGTGAAGTCAATGATGTCTTATTACATGCTACTGAACAACGACAAACACTAGTGCTTTTCTTGAAAATGTTTCCTCCCAGAATTAACTGCTGAGATTTCATTTTCAGAATAAAATCCTCACGCCTTCCTGGCGGCACAGGAGCAGCACGAGCGGCATAAATGGGGTTTGCAGGTCTTCAATGGCAAAACTTTGCTTTCTAAAATGGCTACTCCCAGAAAAGAGAAAAAATCTTCCCTGGTTTGCTGCAGGCCTCCTTGCGCTTACGAGACGCTCCGTGCTGATGTGCTCCAGCAGGCGGGAATAACGCTTCCCTACAGGAAAGGCCTGGGAGCAGGACGGAAGTCACAGGAACTTTGGAGCAGGAGCCAAAGCCACTTCCCTCACGGGACAGAGGATCATGTGAAACGTTGGAAGCTATTCTCAAGTCTCAGATATGGTCGGGGGGAATTTTACTGATTTATCCTGCAATGGGGAGCAACCTACTCTGTACTCGTCCTCTCCTGCTTGGAGACCCTCCACGCTGTTCGCAAGAGCCCGGGATAACGTAAAGGAGACTGAGCCTGCAAGGAACGGGCTTTCCGAACCCTCTTTGCTGAAGATGCCAACAAGGACAACTGGAGCCCTTTTCTCTGGAGGTTGTGGGTGGATGGACATCCTGATACCAGGGACCAGATCGACATCACCAACTTACCCCATGGGTCAAAACACCATGGAACTTCTTGTGGATTTATTATTTTGCCATCCCCACAGGAGTGCCAGGCTGCAGAGGAGCCTGCTCTCCCCTCTCCTCTTTGTTACATAGATTATTTCACCCATCGCCTTTAGTCCCAGCCGCTCGCTGAGCACCCCGGCAGGCTATCGATCCCGGTACTGTTGCTTTCAATGACGGTCGCGGGCGCTCCGGGAGGAAGGCGATCGATAGTGAATGGAAACCATGTGACTGCGCGAGCACCGGCTGCCCCGGAGCCACAGGGCCTCCAAATCCACCCGCTTCCCACTCATTGAAAAATAGTGGGCAGCAGCTCACGAGAAGAGCCCCGTGGGTTCGTTTTCACGAAAAAGCATGTTAAACAACCCCGCAAAGGAATGCAGCCGGTGCAAGCGGCGGGGGAAGCGGATGAAAACGGGTTTTAGAAATTCCA